AGACCTTTTCGATGACAGTCTGCACCAAGAGACAGTTGTCTCGACGAACAGTCTCGATACCCTTCGTGTCCATCTTGTCGTATTTATCCGGCCGCGTCCAGTACAAACCGGCATACCGCTTCTTGTTGATCAGAAGGTACGGGTAGTAAACCTTTTCGAACTCCAGCTTGATTGGCTTGACGAACTTCGATGAGACGTATTGAGCAGCCTCTTCTCCCAGCCTCATGGCTTCGGCCAGGTCTTCGGTGCCGAAGTTGACCATGACGGAATCAGTGTCACCGTAGATGACCTTGGCCTTGGGATACTTCTCCTCGACTTCCTGCTTCGTCTTCTCGATCATCTGTCTACCGAAGGCGGTGGTGCTACTGGCGATCTCCAAGCAGGGCAGCTTTCCGTTCGTAGCTCCCGTCAGACCGTAGACGGAGTTGGCACTGACCTTCAAAGCGAGCTGGCGACCGTTCAGCACTGCCTTCTTGAACGGGTCGGTCTCGCTGGCCAGCTCCCTCTTGGCTTGCTTTCTGGCCGTCAGCAGTTCTTCGAGAATCTGCGCCAGGAGGCCCTTCCGCTTCTTAGACGTCACAAAGGTGTCTCCATTCGGCGTGACGATGTAGTCCTCGTCCTTCTTCAGGCCAAACGCCTCGATCTTGTGCTTGTTGTCCCTGTCGATCAAGGTCGTGTAGCAGAGGTTGTGCGCCTGGATAATACTCGGGTACAGCGACGCGAAATCCAGGGTTGCGATAGGGGTGTCCTTGTAATAGCCCCTTGACGGTTCGATGACAGTTGCACCTTCATACTGATCGTCGGGTCCGTCGGCTTTCCTGTTGGGGATGACCAGCTTCTGCTCGAGCGCTTTGCGGAAGAGCTGGCTGATGAACTTGACCTGTTGACCTCGCGAGAGAAGGAAGTTGAAGGGGACACCCGTGACTCTGGCCATTTCCGTGTAGTTTTCCAGACAGGACAGCTTGTCCATGAGCCTCTGGGGCAGGTAGGCGTCCTTCAGACAGTACAGGGCTAATCTCCGTCTGGACTCGGGAGTTCCATTGAACAACTCCGTGATCATGGTGTAGTGGACATCCTCCTTCTGCTCTCCGAGGAAATGCGAGCAGACAGAGTTCAGCGTGTAGCTGCGGAGCTGGTGGTCACGCTGGACCAGTTGCAGCAAGTCGAGCTGCAAGCGGCCATTGGTGTTGGTAGCTTTGGTGTCGCGGTTACCCATCTGCTTGCTGGAGAAGTTCGTCTCCTTGGCAACTGACCTGACCTTGGTACGGGACCAGTACTCGAAATCTCTGACCTTGAGGTGCTTGGCGCGGTCGAGCAGGTACGGAAAGTCGAAGTTGCAAATATTGTAGCCTGTGATGATGTCGGGGTCGACCTCCTCCACGAAGTCGCGCCACTTGGATAGCAGCTTCTCCTCCCTGTCAAACTCCAAGATGGCTGTTGCCACTATGGGACTCGTCTTGTCGAGACAGAACACGTTGCGCACGAACGGCTTCTTCTCTCCGTATTTCGTAACAACATTCGCAATCTGGATGACCGGGTCGTGGTCCGGCTCGGGGAAGATACCCTTGCGACCAGCGCATTCGATATCAAAAGACAGGATCCGCAAAGGCGCCATCTTCGACCACTCGCCCGCCGGCTTGTGGGCGATCAAGTCGCGGTAGCTGACCTCGGCTTCGATCTGGCAGTTGGAGTGCTTCTGATCAACCAGTCGATACTTGGCGGCAGGAGCCTCAACCCAGCACATGCCGGTGATCGAGTTGTCGACCATGAAACGCAGCACATACTGGATATTGTCGTAGGTCATAAGCTTGTCGCTGTCGGTCTTCCACAGGCCCTTCCAGTTGGCATTCTTGTCTTCTATGACGCTCCTGACTCGGTTTATGTGCTTGGGGTCGGTCACCGTGATCTTGAGGTAGGGGTTCTGGATGTTGTTCTGGAAACCGTAGATGCTCTCTCGCATGGTGAACTGCACCGAGTGGATGACGGGCGCATGCTGGGCCACGCAGGTCTCGAGGTACTGCTTGAAGGGCAGGCAATCGTTCGGAGAGAAAGATACTGGTGCTGGCAGATAGAGATAGTGTTTGAAACCTGTGACGTGCAGCAAGACAGAATTGCCTTCTTGGGTGACGCCGAACAGCTTGACTGCAGTCTCGCCATGCAGCATGCCTTCTTCGGCCTCGATCGACTGGAAGCATAGTGGACTTGTCTCCGGGTCATACTCCTCGGGAATTGGAGGGCGGGCCCAGGATTGGTCTCTCTCTGAGTTGTTCTCCCTAAGGTCCGAGATGTCCTGGCTCAGCTTCTCAAGGACTTCACTCTCGAAGGCACTCTTCGGCTGGCTGGATGGCAGTCTGCCGGGGGTTGCTTGTGAGCTCTTGAAGCGGGCGACGGGAGAAGAAGAGGGGATATCATCGATTCTTCGCTTCTTGCTCGAGGAGGGTGTGGCGGCTATGTTCTGGCGAGCTTTTGATGCCTCTCCGAACACCCGCTTTCGCGGCAGGATTGTGGCCGGCATCGTGGCGAAGGTGGCACTGGATGAAGATGAACCTGGTCGACTTATATGTGGCAGAAACGTCGACAGCCTGGAATCATATCACCTCTTTTGACAGAGAACGAGAACGCGCTAAAAGACAGGTCGACTGGATGTTGTTGTGAAGTGGTTCACCATCAGTCAAGATTGCAATTGCGGGAGCTGTAGAGGACGCGCCTTTGACGTGATGGCCCACTTTGCGACCGCGATCTGCTCGCGCAAAGTCACGCTAGTAACCCTAACCCTTAATTGGCTTCAAGTTGCCCTTGCTGCAGTGTTGAATGTATCGACCCGAGCTTTCAGTGTCTGTTGACAAGCAAGTAGATCCTTCAAATCTCGTGACCCATTCCTCACTCAAATGGCCGAGCGACATCCTTCTCAACTACGCCCCGGACTCCGAGGGATTGACAGGTCCCGGGGCGGAGGAATACCGGCATCTAACGTCCGTCGCAACCTCTTCCAGAGCCAGTTGACCCGCCGACCAACTGCGAGCTCGTCTACTTCTGCTGAAACCCTGCGGCTTGACGCGGATGCACCGTCGGAATCAGAAGACATAGTCGTCCGAGACAAGGACGGAGAGGTCGAGCTCGGCGACCCACCAACGCCGCCTATGGATGATCCGGAAGACGAAGTGCCCGACGCCGGTCACGAGCACGAGAAGGAGAGGCAGCGGCTCGCCGAGGCAGTCAAGCAGCACCAGATCGACCAGAACAGTGTGCCGGCTCAACCAGAAGGTATAGCATCTCATGTCTGACTTTAGCACTGAAGTCGCTAAACTGCTACTTCACAGAACTACTAGAGGCCGTGAGGGCGAGCCTGAGGGCAAAAGTGGCAGCCCTGGCCGAGGACAACTGGATGTACGAGAAGGAGGACCTTCCCAGACGGCAGTAGAACAGCCTGGTTCCCATATTTGGTCGTGTATCACCACTTGACTATCCTACTTCAACCAGGACGCGGATATCGCTTAAAACACCAAGCTACGAGACCATCCTCAGTCCAACCCCTCAGCAGTAGGCGGCGCCTCAACCCGGCGCGCCGGCTTCTTCGCCGCACCTCCTCCAAACCCAGCTCCACCGCCAAACATGCTACCCATCATGTCCAACAGCGGATTTCCCTGCCGCGGCCGCTGGATGCCAAAGTACATCTCGGCAATCAACTCCAGCGACTCGTCCCAAGCGCCGACCTCGGCAATATGGCTACCATACTTCTGCTTCAACTGCCTAAACAAGTCCGGACTCCCCTTCTGCACCGCGAGCAGCAACAAGCCCAGAAAATTAAGCAGCGGCAGGCTCGGAAAGATCCTGACCTCCGAGCTCCCGCTGCCGCGGACGTTCTCGACCGACAGCCCCGGGTTGTCGGCCGTCAGTTTCTGGACGAAGGATCGGTAGGAGGTCGTGGCGGCCCGGACGTTGGCGACGAGGAGGTAGGGCAGCACGGCGCGGGCGGCGTACAGGGCGGCGGTGTGGGACTCGTCTTGCTTGTACCACTCGTACTCCATGCGCGTCAGGACCTCGGCCGACTCCTTGGTGCCTATTATCAGGTGGCGCTCGGCCTCGTACGGCTCGTGCTCGTCCGCGTAGAGGGTGCCGACGACGTGGTGTAGCTCTGGGTCGCCGGCGGGGTATTCGCCGAATTTGGCGGACCAGCTGGTTTGCGCCCGGACGTTAGCTTGAGCTTCTGTTCTGCACATCTTGATTTGTAGATATAGCTGAGCTCAGAGAAAAAAAAACTTACGCAATAAGCTCGGTGATGAACTTCTTCCTCGTCGGCTCCTGGCTGTCGAACAGGCGCAGCAGCGTGAGCAGCTTGCCCTTGGTGGCGGAGTCGGGCTTCAGCGCGGCCTGCTTGTAGACGTCGACCAGCAGGACGCTGAGGTCGCCGCCGCTGCCGCCCTGGCCGGCCTTGAGGAGCGACTGGGCGACGTTGTAGAGGATGTCGACGGCGTTGTCCCAGTTGGCGGCTTTGGTGTAGCGGGCTGCGACGACGCGGGTCTGCTGTTGCGCCTCGTAGTACTGGCCCTCGGCGATGCGGCTCTGGAGCCGCGAGATGATCTTTTCGATCTTGTCGGTCTTGCTCATTTTGGAGGTGCTGAATGTGTAGCGGCTATGGATATGTGGGAAGTCGAGGTAGGGAGAGTGCGTAATGTCTAGGATGTCGTGTCTCGGAGGGTTTGGCTGATCTCAAGGTGAGGCCTGGAGCTTGGATGAATTACGTCGAATGTGGTGGGGCACCTGTACAGCTCGCCAGGGTCGCGGCCACTGAGGGGACGGAGGTACCTATTCTCCAGCGCAAACAGGCCAGTGTTTACCTCATGCTCTCCTCCAAGGCTCTCCTATCATCCAACTACCTAACACAATATCTTTCTTCCTTGAGAGACCTCGCTGCTTCATGCGAACTGTCATACTTGCATCCTCCGGTCAGCCAGCTGTTGACACATAATCATGCACGAGGGCGCAATTACATCATAGCAGCTCGCTTGGTTCAATGGTTAGAATCTCCGCTTCCCATGCAGACGCGCTGTCCTAGCGGAGGATCCGAGTTCGATTCTCGGGGCGAGCATCGCAACATCACGGAACAATCAGTTGATCATTTCTTTTGAGTTTTGCATCTCGTCGATGTGTTGACGGCCACGCTTGAATACGGCAGGCCAGACTGGGGATGACGGCGAGATCCAGTTCACCGACAGACCATTTTGCAGCAACAAGGCGACCCGGCGAGAATATCAAGCCGATAAGCAGCAGCAGCAGACACTAACAGAAGCCATGTGGAGTTCGGGTATGACTTACACGACGACATCATGGGAATAAACACCGACGCAGCGGGGTCGCGAGCGGCAGTGATGATCTCCATGTTCCCCGCATCCACTTAGAGTTCAGGGGAAACAGCATACATCAAGGAACAGTCCGGACGAGTCCAGAAGAAGAGTAAATATATGACAACACGGCTTCAACAGATTGCAGACACAATGGCTTCTCCGACGTCGGACTACAAGTTGAATGAGAACGGGATCCCGCCGTTCGAGGCCCTGCCACTGCAGAAAGACGCGCCTATGCACTCTGCCTGGGGCCTCTACGGCGAGAAAGACGAACTGGGCACTCTCAACCGACTTACTGACGAGAGGGTAGCTGCTGCGGCCAAGAGTGAGATTAGGACTGGTGTCAGGTATGTCCATCCTTACCTTACATACCAAGGACGCCAGCTAACACATATACACAGAGTCTCCCTGAACTGGCCCCTAGACGCCCAATCCAAGGGCTCCTTCTTCGCCCGCAAGCTCTTCCACCAGGAGCTGTTCGCCAAGGCGGCCCGGACAGTCAACGACGACGTATGGACCTTCAACTCCCAAGTCTCAAGCCAGTGGGACGGCCTCAGACACTTCGCCTACCAAAAGGAGAAGAAGTTCTACAACGGCGTGACCATGGACGCCATCCACGGCACCGACAGCTGCGGCAACAAGTCCACCGTGAACGGCATCCAAGGTTTGCTCTCCCCTCCTCACCGATACCATATCACTAACATGACCACCCAGCCTGGGCCGAAAAGGGCATAGTAGGCCGCGGCATCCTAATAGACTACCACGCCTGGCGCCTCAAGCAAGCCGCCACCAACCCCTCCTACGCCACCTTCGACCCCTTCACCACGACCCCCATCCCCCTCTCGGACCTCCTCGCCTGTCTCGCCGCCCAAGGCACCGAAATCCACTTCGGCGACATCCTAATCATCCGGTCCGGGTGGATGGTCGCGCACGCCGCCAAGTCCGAGTCGGACCTCGCGGACCTCCAGAGGGAACCGCCGCACAACTTCTGCGGCGTCGAGCAGAGCGAGGAGATGCTCGACTGGATCTGGAGCAACTTCTCCGCCGTCGCCGGCGACCAGCCGAGCTTCGAGTGCTGGCCTACGCAGCGGAGCTGGGCGCTGCACGAGGTGCTGCTCGCGGGTTGGGGGTGTCCGATCGGGGAGCTGTTTGACCTGGAGAAGCTGGCGGAGCAGTGCGAGCGGGAGGGGAGGTGGAGTTTTTTTGTTGCTAGCGAGGTGTGTAATGTGCCGGGGGGAGTTGCTAGGTGAGTTTTTCTTTCTTTTTTTCTTGATGAGGAGGAGGAGGTTGTGCGTTGAGGGGAGAGGTTTTGATCTGACTGACTGGCTGACTGTGCAATAGCCCGCCTAATATTTTGGCTATTTTCTAGATGGTGGCACTGAGAGGATGTGACGGGGATGGAGGAACCAGGGAATGATATGTTTGGTATTTAGCATGATATGAGAGTTCTACAGCTATGTCACCCATCCTACGCATCCCCCAAAAACCAGGCTCCTACACAGACGCATCACACCAACACCCACCTCCCCTCCCGAATCTCAATCCCCACCTCCCGATCCTCATCAATACTCCTCCTCCCCGCCTCCAGAATAGCAGTAGTGGCAATAGTATTCGCCAGCGTCGGCAGCCCCTTCGCATCCAGATCCTCGGGCCTCAGCGCCCCGGAATTCACGGCCCTGCACCCGTCGACAAACTTCTCCATCGAGATATACCCGTACCCGGTCTGCCCGTTGAAGTTTCCGTCCTCGTCGGGCGCGTACCGCATGTAGAAGGGGTTGTACCACATCAGCCCCCCCGGCACGTTGTCGTCGGCCACGTCGTACCCCCGCTTGGCCTGGTCGATGCGGATCTCGCCGTCGCGCGCCAGGTAGTGGAAGTACTGGTTGCTGTGCACGCCGGCTTTTTGTGGGGCGGTCCAGGACGCCGTGTATACGCCGGTCGCCTGTTTGGAGGCGTCGGACTTGTGCCGCCAGTGGACCAGCAGGGAGATGGTGTCCTCGGTGCGCGGGTCGCACCCGAGGCCGGCGGCCACGCCCTTGGAGGCGGACGCGGAGACCTTGGAGGGGAGGTAGCCGAGGGGCGTGACCATGCTGTCGCAGATGTCGATGTGGTGCGAGTTGAGGTAGTAGCTGATGTCGGAGTCGACGCCCGCCCAGGCCTTGAAGGTCTCGAGCTGGGATTTGGGCTGCGACATGTACGAGTAGAAGTAGTTGAAGTCGCCGAGCTTCTGGGCGCGGAAGCGGGCGTCCGAGTAGGCCGGGTCGTAGCGCTTGTGGTGCTCGATGTAGACGTAGACGCCGTGGGTGCGGGCGGCGTCGATGAGGGCCTGGTGGTGCTCGAGCAGCTTGACGGCGGGCTTGGTGATCATGACGTGGACGCCGCGCTCGATGGCGTAGAGGGCGATGGGGAAGTGGGTGGTGTCCGGGGTGAAGATGGTGATGGCGTCGCCCTTGCTGAGGCTGTCGATGGCGGCCTTGTACGAGTCCGGGTCCCTGCTGACGTCGTTGGGCGGGAACGAGTCGAAGGAGGTGTCGAGGTTGTTGTAGACCTGCTGGATGTTCTTGCGCAGGTGCTCGCGGATGGCGGGGAACTTTGTGCCGTTAGTGCCGACCATGCCCAGCTTGCCGACCTTGCCTCGCCGCCGCAGGTCGAACATGGACAGGCCGACGACGCCGACTTTCTTGTCCGAGCCCGAGGCGCCGCCGCCGACGAAGCCGGTGGTGTACTCGCCTGTTCCGACCTGAGTTGCTGTTAGCTTGGCTGTCCGGAGGTTTCAAGATGAGGGCAGACACTCTCACCATCAACACATTTAGTGGTTCGCCCATTTTGACTACTTGAGGTTATCTCCAGTTCAGGGAGTAATTGGTGGTGGTTTAGACGGAGTATACAACAGCAGAGACAGAAGCTCGCAAACGTCACGGGATGAAAAAGCCTGGAGATGTATGGTTACAGTTCAGTAAGACGAAAGATATTCTCGACTGTTTATTATGTCTATAGCCGGACAACATCGGCATTCACTTTGCCCTGCAGCCATGCCAGGCGCATACGATCCGGAAGAATTATTGGAGGGGAAGGAGGGGCAGCAATTGGAGCGATTTGGAGATTCTGGTCCGGCCGTCCACTAAGGTACCTGTTTGTACTGTGGTAGAAACGAAGCTAGGGGGCTGACTGAGAAACGGTACCTGAACTAAACGACTAACAGGGTGTTCCCGGCTGTTGCTCAAACGCCGACAGTCGGCAAATGACCTGTGCTCTATCTTTCGGAGTAGCCTCCACGGCGTTAGAAGTGCCTCTCGGCGTGATGCACATCTGCGGTCTTCTAGCTAAGCAGCACTCCTGATTAAACTCGGATTCAACATGCTTCTCAGCATCGACATTGTCCATGAGCTGCAACAGCATCAAAGGGGCAAGTCCCTTCGATGTCGATGCCCCGCCCCCACGTTTGTAGGCGGACATTGGATGCCCCGCATCGTCATCGTGACAAGGCTTTGTCTTGACGGGAGGAAATGCCCCTCCAGGACGACAGGACTCGACATCAGGAGTTGCAAAGCATTTACCACAGTACACCACTGAAGAGCTCTCCAAACGAATACTCGAAAATAGATCGGATGCACAATCGACTCAGGCTAAAGCCACTTGCACTATATGTATGCATTAGCTCTCGCGACACCCTCAACTTTCAACTCATGTCGAAGTCCCTTAAAGTAGCTCTCAGTACAGCACGGCTGTGATTGGTGGAATAATTCTTGTGGCTGCCAAGGTGCAGATTTAGAGAAGTCAGAGTTTACTCCAAGAGACGCGCCTTAGATTTCAGCCAGCTCGCACTGCTCGAATCGCTCCAATCTGACAAAATGCGCAAGCAGAAAGAAAAGAGTACAAGATATGAATGCATAGCCTAGAAGAAAAAAATCGATAGCAACAGGATTCGAACCTGTGCGGCCGAAGCCATTAGCTTTCCGAAGCCATTAGCTTTCCAAAGCCAATAGCGGTTCGAGGCTAACCCATTAACCACTCTGGCATGCTACCTTTCTTGATTGAGGGACCCAAGCCTAAAATTGAACTATATATATAAGAAATGAATGCATAGCCTGAAAAAAAAAAAAAACGATAGCAACAGGATTCGAACCTGTGCGGCCGAAGCCATTAGATTTCTGAATCCAATTCGAGTCTAACCCATTAACCACTCTGGCATGCTACCTTTCTTGATTGAGGGACCAGAGCCTAAAATTGAACTACATATTTACATTAGATGGCCGTGCGCCCTAAGCTTTTCCCGCGGCGCCCAGGCCCCACCATCTGGACAGGCGATCATCGGGGCTAACCTGGTTTCCGACGCTCAATCAGTGTTAATCTACCTGCGCGCCTGCAGCCGGCTGTGATTAGCAGGTCTAGCCGAGCATGTACAGCCAGTAAACATTTTCCAGATGGTCAGGAGGTCTGAGCCTTAAGGTGTACTTGACTCTTCTTTTGGTGTTGGGGCGTACCGCAGTAGTTCTACTTCTAGTGTTCTCCGGTGATCGGCGAAGAATTTCCCTCCCGATGACTAACAAGCGCCTTCCTAATGACGTCCCCCGCAAACACCACGGTCAAGACTCACAACCACCCTGCCGGTACACTGCGGAAACACCCGGTCTACTAGTCCTGAACATACGATTCGAGTCCTGAACATAGGATTTCGAGTCTAGGCAACGGCTTTGAGGCTTGACATCTGACTGAAAACGCTACCATGCCGCACATAACCCTTGGGGAGTCTATCCCCCCCGACACGGCTCATGTAAGCTCTAGACTGAAGCACATGCGAACTCGGGCTGACCTTGTTATAGGCCATCAGTGTGTCGCTGCCGACATGGAAGGCCAACGTCGGCTACGAGGAGGGCCAGAAATGGGTTGTCGACAACATGCAGACGGGCTACCCAAGATTCTTCATCCACAAGAAGATCCAGGCTCTTGCTCAGGCCATCGTTTCCAAGTATGCCGCCACACCGGGGCTGCAGGCCTTGCTCCTCCCCAACAAGACCATAGCTCAGCGCTGCGTGGCCTTCATGACCGAGAAGGCCCCTGCTGATGTCTTGGAAGGCCTCGACACGGTGCATCTCGTCCTGGACACGTCAGACCCCTCTGCCGCCCCCCTGAAGCCCATCAAGCCGACCGTCTCGGCCGTGCTCTTCCAGCCCGAAGCCTTCCCTTACGCGAAGCAGTACTGGCAACACACGGGAGACGGCGTGTCCAGCAGACGCGCCGAGTTCTGCCACAGTCTCCTCTCCCAGGGCCTGCTCGTCCCGGATGACTCATCCAAGCGAAGCCCCAGGTCCTCAATCCGCCACAGACAGAAGGGCCCGCGGCGCTACCAAGTACACGTCTCCACAGACGACGACGACACGCCAGCAACCTCAAACGGAAACAGCCCAGCCCCGGACTCGGAAGAATCAGCCCGCTTCCTCGAGGAGCGCTTCGGCCGCAACCTGGACATATCCCTGGCCGAGCGCGCCAAAGCCGCCATCCGACGCCGCATCGCCGGCACCCTGACCCACCACGTCGACATAAGCAGCCACCCGCTGCCCGAACAAGCAGAGCCCAGCAGCCGCGGCGTAGCCGAGGGCGACATCTACCTCTTCCCCAACGGCATGAGCGCCATCTACAACGCGCACCGCTTCCTCCTCGCCGCCCGGGGCTCCCGCAAGAGCATAAGCTTCGGCTTCCCTTACGTCGACACACTCAAGATCCTCGAGAAGTTCGGCCCGGGCTGCGTCTTCTACGGCCACGCGTCCGAGTCCGAGCTCGACGACCTCGAGGCCCGCCTGGCGGGAGGGGAGCGCTTCCTGGCTCTCTTCTGCGAGTTCCCCGGCAACCCGATGCTGACCTGCCCTAATCTCAAACGCATCCGCTCGCTGGCCGACAGGTACGACTTTGCCCTGGTGGTGGACGAGACCATCGGCACGTTCGGCAACATCAACGTGCTGCAGTACGCCGACGTGGTGGTCAGCAGCCTGACCAAGATCTTCTCGGGCGACTGCAACGTCATGGGCGGCAGCGCCGCGCTCAACCCGCGCGGGCGGTACTATCAGAGTCTCAAGACCGCGGCCGCCGAGCTGTACCAGGACACGTACTGGTCCGAGGACGCCATCTTCATGGAGCGCAACAGCCGCGACTTCGCGTCGCGCATCGACCGCATCAACGCCAACGCCGAGGCCATCGTGGAGCTGCTGGCGTCGCACCCGCTGGTGGGGAGGGTGCACTACCCCAAGCTCAACGCGGACAGGGCCAACTACGAGGACTGCAGGCTGCCGACGGGCGGGTACGGGGGCTTGTTGTCCGTGGTGTTCAAGCGGAGGGAGGACGCGGTGGTGTTTTTTGACAGTATCGAGTCGGCGAAGGGTCCGAGCCTGGGGACCAACTTTACGCTGACGTCGCCGTATGTTGTGCTTGCTCACTTCCTGGAGCTGGACTGGGCGGCTAGTCTCGGGGTTGATCCGGATTTGTTGAGGATTAGTGTTGGGCTGGAGGATACGGAGAGGTTGGTGGGCATCTTTACGAGTGCGTTGAGGGCGGCGGAGGAGGCGGGTAAGGAGACGGCGTAGAAAAGGATGAGATGACGAGTGACCGGTGCTATAGGTTACGTTAGAGGGCATGTCGGAGTTTGGTGCTACCTAAGCATAGGGTAAGCTTCGTCAGGACAATAACATGAGAAAACTCACAGATAGCCTGCACCCTCGGCTGTATATAAATCCTGTGAACAACCTTCCCACTCACGTACGACCAAGAACGGAGCCGGTGTGACAACCACTTTTCCGGAACACGATTACTAGAAAGACCGGGAGCACCGGTCTTCTCCGGCCCCCCTGCCTCTCGCTTTTTCCCGACCGATCCCACATGCACTTATCGCGAGTCTGCTTTTACCCAACTTCGACCACCGCATGATGAGTAGAAATTGAACGCAGATGGTCGCCAAGGCACAAGAATAAACATTCCTTGATCCCGATTTGAGGCGGTAAGAACACATATGCGCTGTACAGAGCCTGATACACACTTCCTATTGTATACTCGAAGACGTAGTCTTATCATCCCCACCGACCAACAACCTACATTACCAAGTTCCCATAAATACTGATGAAGAAAAGGGGGTATCGATCGCCAACATCCTTCCTAGTGTAACTACCTATTACCCTGCTGCAACATCGCCAGCCTCGCCCTCTGCGCCTCCTGCTCCTCCTCCACGCTCCACAGATGCAGCAGAGTCCGCCTCTGCGCCTCCAGCTCCGCCGCGCGCGCGAGGATGTAGCTGATCTCGTTCGGGTCCGGCTCGACGACCTCCGGCGCGTCGGAGTATTGCGTCGTCGCCATGGTGCTGCCCGGGCTCGCCGCGCCGGTGGGATGCTGCGCGCTACTACTGCTACCAAAAGGAGGACTTTGCTCCTCCTCCACCTGCTGCCCCGGCGACGGCGCTGTGTCAGGGTGAGGGTTCGGCGCCGCACTGACTACTGGGTTTCCGTCGAGTTCTGCATTGTTGGTCCCACGGCCGCCAAAGTAGCTGTCATGGCTTGGGGACGAAGATTGTAAGCCCACAGGCTGAGGGCCTGTTGGGTCCGCCGGCAGCTCATGTTCCAGGGCTTGCTTCTTCTCGGCGTTTGGCGCTAGTAGCTCGGATGGTGGCGACATTCCGTACTTGGCATTTGAATCGTGGCCGGCGGCGGGGAGCTCGTGTGGACCAGCAAGTCCTCCGTCGTCGTGGGTGCTGGCGACAGCCCTAGCGCGCCGGCTTCTTCGCCACACGAGGAAGGCCGCGAGGGCGAGGAGTAGGACGCCGAGGACGGCACCGACCGCGATGCCGGCTATGGCGCCGGTCGATAGGCCGGAAGGAGACGCGCCTGGGGTCGGTGTAGCTGTGCTGGATGAGGGAGCACCGGGCTGAGTTGTCGCGGAGGAGGATGGCGAGGTTGTGTCTGCTGCTGTGCCTATGCCCGCGCCTGTAGCAGTGGACGATGTAGTCGATGTAGGTGTGCGACTGGCAGAGCTGCCTGTAATCGGGAAAATGCCATCCCCAGTCGAAACAGTCACAAGGGAAATCGATGAAGCGGACGATGCGGTCGATGAAGTCGGACCCGGTGCGGAGGCTCCATCGCATAACTGAGCGAGGGCCGTCGTCGCGGCTATATTCAAGCCGTGAGTATGTTTCCAGGAGACAAACGGTGAGATCGATGCCAAGACTCACCACTTATGTCACTTGCCGAGCATGCCTCGATTAGACAAGACGAAATCGCGTTGCCAAAATCCGTCTCCTTGCTACAGATGCAGGACGCGTCGGTGCTAGAGCAGCCTATCGCCGTGGCGGCGGGACCGACGCATGATACCGCACATACTGGCAGACTCGGACTGGATGCCATATTCAAGCCGTTGCGAGAGTGATGGCGCCGTTGACTTTTCGGATGTTGTGCGAGGTTCCTGTCAGGACAAGACAAGACTTGTTGGTGGCCAGCAGTGCGGCTGAAGTTATGAGAAAGGGCTTCGATGATCTAGACCACTCAGATGTGATGGACTGCAGTCACTGCATGAAGGTATTGAAAGTGCTAGACCTTTCCAAGAGGGCACATGATACATCCGTCCAAGAAGGGGATACGTCGCGACAAACCCATGTGTTATGTATCATCTCCCCTTCCCCCAGGGTATGATTTCATTCGTGATTTTGTACCTCTACTTGAACCATACTAAAACTTGACGTATAGCAACAACACTCGAGTCAGTCTCTAATTGCCTATAAAGTAAAAAAGCTAGATGGTATTCCGAACTTACTTCATTACGTATAATAGGCACTTGTCTTACAATTTTCTTAGATATTCCACCAAGTGGCGAGTAGATGATATCTCTATTCCAGCAATCCCATGCACCTTAAATCGATACGCCCTGCCTCGTAGAACAGTTCTCAAAGCCTCCCTTTCGCTGGCATAAACTCCTTCAACTTGCGAAATGGTAATAGAAAGAATTCCATCATTTGGTTCCCCGGATCCACGCGAATACAACAGGTTTATTCTGCGAAGTTGATCTTGATGCCGTCAAACCAGAGAGGAACAGCATCGATGGGAACTTGAAGACTTCTCGTCCACTGGAATCGTGTATGAACCGCCGTGGATCAGGTTGCTAGCCGCAAAGACGTCGAACCAGAACTGAGCTCTCTGCGTTACGAAATAATCATGAAGATCTGAG